AAAAAATAGTTTATAGCGCGCCATTATTGAGAGAGATATAATATTAACGTGTAATAAAAGATTGTGTTTCATTTATCTTTAACTATGGCTTCTGTAAAAACAATTCAAATGTATTTTTTTACATTTGCGGACAATATACAATAGTTAAGCAAAGATTGAATATAACAGACTTTGTAAAAAATGCTTATTAAGCTTACTTCAGAATGAAGTTGTCACCAAGATAAACACTGGGTTACCAAAAAATATGCCGGTTATGTGTTGAAATGTTAAGAAAGTAGACTTATAGTAAATCAAAATCATTGTTATTCGGTATTTTTATGTCCAAATTAGAATGCAATTGGAAGTCGGAGTGAAAAATGTCATCAATATGAGTTTGAAAGAAGAAAGTATTGCTTCCACCACTTTATATTAAACTTGGTTTGATCAAACAGTTTGTAAAAGCATTTCGACTTGACGAACGGTGATTATTTCATGTTTAGATATCGAGGTCATGATTTATATAGGTTTTAAGCATATAAAAAATCGTAAGGACACAAAAGATTGCTTTTTAAGAAAAAAGTCAATTCAAAAATCACGTTTTTTTGCTTATTTTCAATCTTTCCATGCTTTAATATTGTCGAAAGTATTTTTAACCAACACCATCGAAAAGAGCATCGTTAAAAACATAGAAACACTGGTTATCGAATATTTTTTCGTCGCACTCATTACGTGGCAAGGGTTCAAATGGAAATGTGTTCTCTGAGCGTTTATGGGTTAATGTGACGTGGTATAAACCATATGAATACCGTTTTCTATTACTCTTAATTAGAAAGAGTAAGAGAACAGAGGATTTTATGGAAGTCAATAAGAAGTAGGCCAGATAAATAGGTTAGAGATAGGACACCTTCTCAAGTATGAAGGTCTAGTCAGAGACATATTATAGGCAGAAACGGAAATTAGGAGGGCTAGAGGTAGACCTAGATTAGATTACTGTTCGCAAATAGTTAAGGATATGGGTTGCTCTAGCTTTAGGGAAATGCGAAGATTAGCGCAGGATAGGAAAGAGTTGGAGGTGCGTGTCTAACCAGTCTATGATGATGATCTATGCATTCTAGACAAAGATTTAATTAGTTGAAACAGTGTTTGTGCTTATTATTCGAACTTTTCTGAATTTCTATATTTACACTAATGTTCATATAGGTATTCTTGAAAAGAGAAATTACAATTGATACAGATCTAGATTATAATTACAAAAAATTTAAAACGTTAAAAAAACTTAAAAATTTTAATAATTGTTTTGTTCTTATTAAATAAGTGTATTATGTATTTCATTAATATTTGAGGTTTTCTAAGTTTACAAGATCCATCGCTAAAAGTTCCTGGAAATGCCGGCTTGAAAGACATTGTAATGGCCCTGAAATGGATTCAACAAAACATTGCCAGTTTTGGTGGAGATCCTCAAAACGTAACCATTTTTGGCTGCAGCGCTGGAGCAGGATCAGCTCATCATTTAATAGCGTCTCCAATGGGCAAAGGTTTTAGAATTATGATTCTAAATTATCTGATAATTGTTATGGACGTTTATAGGTTTATTTCATAAGGCTATATTACAAAGTGGTTCCTTGTTTTGTCCCTGGTCAATAGGAACTGGCTACGTAGATCATCTTAAAGAGGTCCTCCACATAACAAACGAGAAAGATATGTTAGAAGTACTAAGGTCAATTCCTGACCATCAGCTTTTGGAGCTCCAAGAAAAATTAAAAGAGGTATTATTATTATTTTATATGTCCCCGACCGCGATCACTGGTTGTTATTTTCTGTCAGACACACGGAAATCTTAATAAACGAGTTCATGGGCCTGTTATTGAGAAAAATAATTCAGGAGAAGAGCCATTTCTTAGCGAAGATCCCTTAGATTTAATTCTTTCCGGAAGATATAATAAGGTTCCTATAATAATAGGATATTCCAATAGGGAAGGGCTTGTTTATGCAATATATAATAAACTATCGGATGGTACGATTCAGCAGTTACCCAGTTTCGAACAGATTATTCCCCAGTGGCTCGGATATCCCAACGGTAGTAGTGAATCCAAAACTATAGCAGAACAAATAAAGAGATTTTATTACGGCGAAGAGGAGCCCTGCATGGCAAATGTGGACAATTTATATTTGGTACGGTTAAAATAAGAAACTTTCTTATCATTTACATCGTAAAAACTGTTTTTTTGTTTTCTAATAGCTTTTAGGCGACTCTTACTTTCTTTCTGGCATCGCATTTACCGTACGCGCCCATGTACATACATCCTCTATGCCTATATATTTGTACAGATTCTCTATCGATGGTCGGCTTAATTTATATAAGAGAAGTTTAAATTTAGAATTTTACGGTAAGCAATGAATTATTTTGCTACATTTTAAGCTTTACATATGGTGGGCGGACAATACCTACCAAGAATAAAAATATTCTTATCCCCCCGAAACATAAGTATGAAAAGAGGGTTTAGTTCGTTACAAAAAACAAAACGGTTTGTCTTTGAAAAGGTTAAAATCCATTTGGAGATCGAAAGCTTCATGTGGGGGGGGGTACCCAAAAAGAGAACTAGAATGCCAATGCATTTTAGTGAATTAATTTTTTAATATTTGCCCACTACAGATAACCTTAAATTAATAAGGAAAAATTTTTGCTTTTGACTTCCATAGACTCTTCTGTTCCCCTATTCTTTCCAATACCTCTTCATTTCTAACCTTTTCTACCCACAATATCCTCATCATCTGCCTATAACACCACATTTCGAACGCTTCTAACCTTTTCTTTTCCGCCGCATCCACTGTCCATGTTTCGCACCCGTACAACGTCGTGCTCCAAACATACACCTTTAACAACCTTTTTCGAATTTCTAAATTAACCGTTCCCGAGCATAGAAGTGACTTCTTTTTATTAAAAGCGACACGATCCTGCGCTATCCTCTGCTTTATATCCCTACTACTCCTTCCATCCTCACTTAGCTAACTTCCTAGGTATCTAAAATCAGCCACTTCTAATTTTTCGTCTCCTATCTTATTTGCTCTTTCCCTACTTTTTCTTCCTTTGCATACTAATATTTTAGTTTTACTTTTATTTATTTTCATACAGTACTGATCTGTCAGTACCGCTTCCATTTTATTTAAAGCTATCTCTAGGTCCTCCTTGCTAGATGCTAATACTGCTATATCATCTGCAAATCTAAGCATACTAATCTTTTGCCCTTGCACATCTATCCCTACAGTTGTACTGTCTTTAATGATGTTGATGGCGTCTTCGATGTATAGATTAAAAAGTAGCGGTGACAGTGTGCATCCCTGCCTGACTCCCTTCCTAATATTTACTTCTCTACGTTGAATCCCCAGCTCTATAACTGCCTGTTGCTCTTTATACAAACTAAGTATCACTCTTCTATCTTTGTAATTCATCCCTACATTTTGTGATACTTTTGAATTTAACCCTACAAAAATTCAAAAGTATCTCAAAATCAGTTTCCATTGGACTGTAAACACTTATCTCAACAGGAAAATTGTTGTCTTACGGGTTTTGTTCAAAAAATTGATTTTTATTGGATTTCAAGGTTGATTTCACTTGCCATACTTTTTTTGCCCAGCCGATGAGGTCATCCGTCACTGGCTGGACTATTTACTGTTTTAAAAGAAAGCAGATTTTGATGAACGCTGCCTGGCCAACTGAGAAAGGAGAGTGTCTATCAAACGTACTTAGCATAGGCATTGGCCTACAGAAAAATAATTCTCTTTTCTCTGGATACTCTGGTAATTCGTTAAAACTCACCAACCGTTAGATCTCAACAATTTCATCTGCGGTAGCCGATAAACCCACCTATTGTTTGTAACGAATTGAGCACCCTTTTTTTCATGTATGTTTTAAGTGAAAGATCAGTACTTCTTTTATTAAGTTATTCAAATACATTGATATAAACGATTTTTTCTGGTTGTCTCTTTTATATCTACATCCCAAAGACCTAAATTCTTGACAAATTTTAAGTTTCCAAGTCAAAATTAACCTTTTGAAGACTGAGAAATACATTTAGTGTCACAATTACACTTTTTTTGTAAAATTTGGAATTGTGGATAACTAGCGTAATTTGTAGGTTATCACAATTACAAGCGTACCGGTTAATGATAGGGTGTGCGAATATTCGAAAATTTCGAGTTATTCGTTGCAAATAAAATAAAACCTATTACTGGGTTTCAATTCGGAATTCAAATTTCTTTAATAACAATTTTTGAGGGGCAGAAGAGTTCTTTTCAAAGATCTAGAGATGATGTTATATGGAGTAATATTCTTTATACCGTTTAGAGTAATAGTTTTTCATCAGTTTTTCCATTTTCCATGAAGAAATCTGTTAATCAAATAGCTCATGGATAGAGCCAAATGTAGCACTTCCAATTAGAAAACTTATTTAGATTAGATAATGACAGTGAAGCTGGCATAAAGCGGTCAAAATGAATTTCAAAAATGTAGAAATTCATGGCTTCTTACTGGTGCCAAAGTCAAAAATTGGGGGTCATCATTTGTGTATTGATTGTTTCTAGTTCCTTTTTTATTCTCAATGTTATTTACTTCTTCAAGGGTACTTATTGAGTACAAGATAACACACGGTCAGTATATACCGCCGCCGCTTTTGGAACTTGTACATACTGCCTTGTGTTAATTAGCCATTAAATATTTGCTAGTATTTAATTATGATACATATAATGCATAACTATAGGTGCATGCCATGCTGACGAATTAGGATATCTCTTCAAAGGAATACTGTCCAAACAGTTAACTCCAAATTCAAAAGAAGAAATAACTATGAAAAGAATGACGAAATTGTGGACAAATTTTGCCAAAACCGGGGACCCAAATCCTGCAGAGGAAGATAGCTTATTGAATGTGAAATGGGAAAAATGTGGACTAAATGCTATGAACTTTTTGGAAATTGGGGACGATCTAACAACTGGAAAAAATCCAGATTATAACAGAATGAGTTTCTGGGATGATATTTACAAATCTAACCCATCAACATCTAAACATTTTATTGTTGAATAAAATTGCTTATTAATAATAATTTATGTATATCTAGTATTCAAAATAGATTATTATTACACATATACCAAACACAACTTAAATAAATGGCTGTTATTATTTTTATGTAGTATTATTGAATAAATTGACAAATGTGCGTCATCGTAAGAGCCCTTCCAAATTTTCAATAAACAATCGAAAATACGAAACGTTGACAGTTTCATTATTTCGTAAGTAAGTAAGTAAGTAAATGTAATAATATAGGTAGGCTTTATACCTGTTATTATTAACACTATGTTGTGAACGATTAGATTTTAATTCCGCATCATATAATTTAAACATTTTCTCTTGCTGTTTTGCAGCCTCGAAAATCTTATCTAAATTTTTAAATTCTTTTGCCATAAGAACTGTTCTAATATTAGTAGGTAATTTACGCAAATAGGTCGTGGTCGCAATTCTTTCAAACGCATCCGCCAAAGCTTTTTGAGCTACAGGGTAATTGCTCATTTCTACCGCAGAAGAACATATCGCATCTCGTAAAGGGACAATTTTATTATAAAGAGATTTTGTAGTGTTATCTTTACATTGGACAGTAAAAAGATCCCAAATTAAATTTTCGAACGATTTATCTAAATCATAGGCTCCTTCCAATACAACGAAAAGTTCATCTGCATTAGTAATGATACGAGACGAAATTAGCCGTCTTGCCCTACCACTAATTTTAGAAAAAACTAACTTATTTAATAACTCTAAATGTGGAGGCGATACTTGACATTTTGACTTAGCGTAATTGTAAGCCTGCTTAAATTCAAAAGACCCTATACCATTTTCTCCTCCATTGAAATCTGGTATTTGTGTGATTAAATAACCAAAAATTTCATTAATCCTTAAAGCACCTGAGTTGACAGAGTCAGTTGAACTATTAGGATTTGCCATATTAAAAGCGAAAATGATAGGATAAGAAGTAACGAATAATCAAAAACAATATAATAGGCGGTGGACAAAAAGTAAATCACTCACCCCAAAAGTAAAAAGATCAGTTTCATGTGAGGTTGTAGGACGAATTCCCTTCCTTGATTTCCAATAATTAGGATGGATTCCTCTGGTGGCAACTCCAAAGATCGTTGGATGGACCTATAGAGGATCCTACTGACTGCGCCAAATGTTACGTCCTGGTTTTTCGGGTTCGAACGAAAAGTTCCCAGTAACGCATGACAACTAAATTTTATTTGGTAGTTGTCGAACCAAAAGTTAGTTTAACTTTATTTTTCTTTTAATTAGCTAACACTAGATCTTTCTATAAGAATGACAATATTAAGCTTTCAAGAAAAACGAAGAAACGTTAATTTATTATTTATTTTGAAGTTACAACCGACAGAATGACAGCATAAATAACTTGCCTTGGTCTAATTGTGATCCCTAATATATAGTGATTTATTATCTAAATAAATATGGATAACAATACAAATATAGATACCTATAAAGAACAGTATATTACAGTACCTACATTTTGTATACGTATGTTTCTTATTTCAATTCCCATTTATAATAAATAACAGGGTTAAACCTGTTCGAGATCTGTTCAANATAAATATAGATACTTAAGAAGAACAGTATATTACAGTACTTATGGTTTGAATGAACTCGAATAACAAATCATAAAGTTTTTGAATTATTTTATTGCAATAGAAAAATTTATCAAGGAGGAGTTAGGGATAGCTTTAAACAAAACAGTATTGTATGAAAATAAATAAAAGTAAAACAAAAATTAAATGGTAAGGTTATAATAAGGTTGTACTGAATCTCATTTTCAGTATTTTGGTTGATTATATCGGGAAAAACTGTCCATTTTTGTCCTATTTTCTGTGGCTGATGAACCTAAGTGCATTAATTTTTATACGTGTTTATTTTCATTATGGACTGTTTTCTGCATTCGAGAATTAAAAGTTTTGCTTGTGTCACACGTGTTTCTGATTAATGCAGTAACTTGTCCTATGGACCTTTTGTGAACATTGATAAGTTAAAAGAAAAAGACAGTTTTTATTTGGTTTGTTCAGACTAAAAGTAAAAAGAAGAGCTGTCTCTATATTCATTCAAATTTTAAGCAACAGAATTTAAAGGGTAAATAATAAAGCTGAAGATAAAAGAGGAGAAGTAAAGAAAAATTAGATTTACAAAGGAAGAGTAGAGAACGGGAATAAAGAAAGAAACATGAGTGGTCTGGAAGAGGCAAAAGAAGATTTGAAAAGAAAAAATATAGTGGAGCTTAATATTAAGATGGAAAAATTGAGACAGAATAATGCAAATGTTAGAAAATATAAAGAGGAAAAATAAAAAAATTTTAAGGTAAATGAGGAGAAACAAAGGAAAAGAGAATTGCAAAAATAACGAAGATGGAAAGAATTCGAACAGAAGATGGAGGGAATCCAGGAAGAAAATAAAAGTATAGAAATGACGGAAGAAAGAGAGAAAGAAACAAGTGAAAAAGTAAAGAAATGGGAAGAAAAAATGGATAAGAGCGAAGAGCGTAAGGGAATATTTACAATACGAAAGAAGTGAAAGAGGTGGTGTTGGAGGATTTGGAAATAAAAAAGAGGGTGGAGAAGCATTTAGAAGATTAGATGAAAAGAATAAGGAGAATGGAAATGGAATTAGAAAAGAAAAGAAGAGTAGAAAAGAAGCGAAACAATAATTTTTGGAATACAGTTAGAAGGGAACAAAGAAAAGAAGGAGAAGAAGAAGGTGGAGGTAGTGGAGGTATGGAAGCTTCAGGAGAAAATCTATGGCGTAAATATGGAAAAGTGGGAAGATAAGATACAGATAATTAGAAATGTCAGAAGGCTAAAGGAGACAGAGATATATATAAGGGACGATATGACCATGGAAGAAAAGAGAAAGGTAAACGAGAAGAGGCAAAGAAATGGAGAGAAGACAATCAAGGTTGGATATAAGAAAATAATAATAGACGGGGTAATATGGCTGAGGATACCTTGGATGGAGAAGGTTAGAAATGAAGAGATACATATTAGAAAGAATAGGATAACAGAGGACAGAGCAGAAGTCAATAAGAAATAGGCGAGATAGGTTGGTAGGACACCTTTTCAGGCAGCATGAAGAACTAGTCACGGAAATATTAGGAACAGAAACAGGAGTTGAAAGGAGTAAAGGTAAATCCAGATTAGAGTACTTTTCACAAATAGTTAAAGATGTGAGATGTTCTAGGTTTAGGGAAATGGGAAGATTAGCTTAAGATACGAAAGAGTGGAGGTGCATATCCAACCAGTCTTAGGACTGACGCCCTTATGATTATGAATAGAAAAATTGGTATAGAAGATACAGAAGAATGACAAGTAAAAAGGCAAGTAATTGACAAGTAAATATATACATTTTCGTAGATTTTGATATTAAGTGAACCTGAACATCTTAACAGGTTAAATAAAAGTAGAGAAAAAACTTTTAAATGTAAATCTTTATCTTAATTATTAGCATTGTAATGGGTGCATTATTTAGAGTTGCTAGTTCAGTTGCGGTCACGTTCGCTCCGACAGGTGTTGCAGCACTCAGATCCTTTGATAATTTGAAGTACAAACTCGGAAATGCGCGAGCATTACTGTGTTTTCTTGAATTAATTTCCCATTGGCGCTTTCACGATGTTTCGATACCGCGACTGCGAATTTATTTGCAAATGCCTCCAACGTTCTTGTCAGTATTTTTCTAACAAGCCTGTTTATCTCGATTGTTGCTTCATGACAGAACAGTAATCTAATTTACTTAATTTTTTTTCAATACATCCTATTCATTACAAACGTTTTGTTACGAAGGAACAAATCTTATTCTTGCATTTGTTGAAAAATTAGGTGATATGTATTTACAAACTGTTGAATAAAATAATTACTGTGTGGAGAGTTATTTGTATGGGGGATCTTCCAAAGATAAACGCTTGTATTTCCTAACTGTATTTGGTTGCATAATTTTCAGAGAAGTCCATATGTACTACTGCGTCTTCTTCAGTAAGATTATATTAATTCACTTGTATGTTAAAATTCCTGTATCTTTCATTCGCCATAGCTTATATCTCTTGACAATTATTCCTGAAACTAACTGATTTGCAGTAGATTTTTCTTTCTTAGTTTTCATTTAAGAAAAATTTTCTTGTAGTTGCTGCTTCACAACTTCCGCCAAAAAGAGCCTTCTTGACCAATTCTCTTCTACATTCTGGAGTGTCTAACATCTTGTTTAAATGTGTTGTGGGTGTATCTGGCTTTTGATCCTTTTTTATTTTTTTAAGTCTCAACAATCTTTTTTGATACTTAGCGACTTTCTTCTTCAGATCAGCATCTGCATTTTTCTAACGAGCCTGTTTATCTTGATTGTTGTTTCATGACAGAACAGTAGTCTAATTTACTTACTATTTCTTTAATACATCCTATTCTTTACAAACGTTTTGTTACGAAGGAACAAATCTTATTCTTGCATTTGTTGAGAAATTAGGTGATATGTATTTACAAACTGTTGAATAAAATCAAAAATAGTACGCAAAAATATATATCTCAATTGAATGGAATCAATTGAATCTTGTTTTTATAACACCAAAACAAACCAAACTTGAACTGCGCAGCAACTCACACATGACAGTGTAAGTGTAAAAACGCTCCTCGACGTCATATGACGTTTTCCAGCTCATCACATTGTACAGTGCACTGAGACGTTTGATTCATTGCAGAAAATATTTTTTGTCCATGACGTCATATATGTGTTTTCTGATTAAATTTAATTATATAATTAAGTAGAATTAGGCCAATTTACATTCCATGAAGTATACTTCAAATGTCACAATGTTACCAAATAGTGAAGCCATAGGTTAACTATCAGATAAAAGGGAATACACGGTAACAACAACGCTCACTTTATGATTGTTACGACAGGACCTTTTAATTCTTAGCATACTAGTCAAAAAAAGATTTGTAAAAAATAAAGAAATTGAAAAAAAGAATCATCGGCCGCTAGTAGAAACCTTAATAACGCTGACCCAGTGAAGCTTCATGAATGCTGTTGAATATTGTATACAACATTAACGCCTATCACATTCGTTATACACTACATTTGATCAGTATTCAGAAAATTTTGAAAGGTAACATCTGGAGGTACTATAGAGTACATCTCGTGATAGCGCTACAATGTAGGGGGTGTAAAAACTATGCAGAAAAGATATCCCACTTCCTGAGCCTTCAATGATTGAGAACACTCGCTGCGGCCGCAATAACTTATCGACCTTTGTTATTGCAAACGTCAAGTGACGAAACACGCGCACCTACTCGTGACCTTCGTAGCAGCTGGTACGCAGACAGGTCAATTGCACATTATTTACACCGACGCCTCGTTACATAATTACGTTAAGTAATCCTGGTTATAATTGCCCCAACTAGGCTTATTACTCTCATGTTTATGGATATCATTGGCTGGTACGATATGGCTCATTGTACTTCTTTTTCATGCACCTTTATCTCGCTTAATTTTTCTAGCCACCGCGATAAATTAATTATACAATTATTTTGTGATATTTTATTAGCAAAATGTTACCTCAAACGTTTCTGAATCAACGATTTTGTAACAAGCGTCCAAGTTTCTCATATCTTTAACAGCTTTGTATAATTTATTAACAACATTGGGTACTCGAGTGATGTTAGCTGTTGTAGTTAAGTCATTAAAATACTTTTCTTGCTCTAGATAATTTCCCATTTTATGCATGTAATTTGGGTACATCGACTTAGATTTCTTGTCAGTTACGTATTCTTGAAAATCTTTCAACATATTTTCTTTCGAAGGTATTTGGAAATGTCCTGTTAATGAAGAAATGAAAAATCTCACCTAAAATTGACATTTGAATAGTTCACTTTAATAAAAATTAATAATATTGTACCTGCACTTCAAGTACGGGAATCGCAGCTACTGCAAATGGAATTCCTATAAACGCCATAGTCGGGTGTTCTATGTTAACGATTTGTTTATATAACGGTCTAACCCATTTGCCGTTTACAATTTCGATATCAGAATTTTTCGAGAGAAACGGATAACTGTACTCGTATCCTACGGACGATAATCATTGCTACTAAAAGGACTATAAATGAAACAACATAAGCATAATGGACATGTTTTGGGAATCCTTCTTTTTAAATGATCTCACGGTTGAGGTTGTCTTATCTACGTTTTGTCGGTAACAGTTGAAGGCATTCTCAAGGACCATTATACGTGGTCGTAAGTGGAGTGACAATCCATGGGGATGCCTTCTACAATCAACAGTGAAACACCCAAAGACAACTTCAGTCAAGGGACCATTAAAGGGGTAAATTTTCAAAAAATAACATTCGAACAACGATAGTTCTATTTGTTGTATTTATAAACACTATGACCACCAAGTCAACAAGGTAAACGACTCTGTGCCAAAGGACTTTGAAAAATAAGGTGACAATTTGTAAAAGGCACGAATAAGTAATAGCATCTTACATTATGACTGATATTCGGATGTTTTGTCATACTACTATATGCTTTTTACAAAATGCATATGGGAGTTTTTAGACTTACTTGCAATATATTAGATGCCGTCTTCAAGAATCCTTTCGGAACGAAGCTTCTTGTCTCATGTTACCCAAGCAATGTGCTAACCTGCAGCGGCGTTGCCAGATGAATTTCTCTTTATGCCCTAGTTGTTTTACCGAAATTTCCTTATGTTTCATCCGATATTGTTATAGCTCTGTCTTTATTCAGTTATTCACATGTATTTAAAGAGAGAGACAAAGAGGGGGAGCTATTTTAAATAACTGCGGAAGCTAACCTGTTAGTAGCAACTGACAGTCGTAGAATTACCATTTCTGTAATGCATATGTTGGATGTTTCTCAGTATTTTTTTTACAAAACACCTTGAGCAAAACATTGTCCTTACCGGGTGTCCCACCACATCTCGCAGCTTGTTATTTAACCCGTAACCTAAACTATTCTTAACCCAACCCAATTTAACAACATCATCATCATCATCATCATAAGGTCGTCAGTCCTAAGACTGATTGGACACTTACCTCCACTCTTTCCTATCCTGAGCTAAACTTCGCATTTCCCAAAAACTAGAGCAGTCCACATCCTTAATTATTTGCGAACAGTAATCTAATCTAGGTCTACCTCTACCCCTCCTAACTCCTGTATCTGCCACTAATATGTCTCTGACTAGACCTTCATGCCTGAGAAGGTGTCCTACCAACCTATCTCGCCTATTTTTTATTGACTTCCATAAAGTCCTCTGTTCTCCTATTCTTTCCAATACCTATTCATTTCTAACCTTTTCTACCCACGATATCCTCAACACCACATTTCGAACGCTTCTAACCTTTTCTTTTCCGCCGCGCCCACCGTCCATGTTTCGCACCCGTACAATGCCGTGCTCCAAACATATATCTTTAACAACTTTTTTCGAATTTCCAAAATTGTTCGCGAGCACAGAAGTGACTTCTTTTTATTAAAGGCGACACGACCCTGCGCTATCCTCTGCTTTATATCCCTACTACTCCTTCGATCCTGACTTATCTGACTTCCTAGGTATCTAAAATTTTAGTTTTACTTTTATTTATTATCATACAGTACTGGTCTGTCAGGACCGCTTCCATTTTATTTAAAGCTATCTCCTTGCTAGATGCTAATACTGCTATATCATCTGCAAATCTAAGCATACTAAAATTTTGCCCTTGCACATCTATCCCTACAGTTGTACTGTTTTTAATGATGTTGATGACGTCTTCGATCTATACATTAAAAAGTAGCGGTGACAGTGTGCATCCCTGTCTGACTCCCTTCCTAATATTTACTTCTCTACGTTGCATCCCCAGCTCTATAACTGCCTGTTGCTCTTTATACAAACTAAGTATCACTCTTCTATCTTTGTAACTCATCCCTACATTTTTAAGTATATTTAACATATTGTCCCATTTAACATTGTCAAAAGCTTTCTCTAAATCTACAAATCCTATGTACGCACTCTTTCCTTTTTCTATCGTTTTCTCTATTGTTACCCGTAAAGCTAGAATGGCTTCCTACGTTCCTCTATTTCTTCTAAACCCAAATCTTCCCCTAATAGTTCTTCCTCCCTTTTTCCCATCCTCCTCTGTACAAAAATCACCTAGAATCTTCCACGTACAGCGCCTCCTAACGTGATGGTAACAACAGTAAAAAAAAATTGCAGCTTTTGACTGCTGCTCCAATAAGAATGCATAAACCGCTCTAAAAGATTAGATGAGGCTACTGCTGGATAAGATAGGTTAGATTAGTAGCTTTTTCAATTTTCGATTTTTCATCTCCAACCCCCACGCCTTCCTCCTCCGCTCCTACTTAAAAACATTTGTTTGCGTTTAACAAAGTCATTTCCGCCCTCCCCCTCCGTTTTCCTTCCCCAGCCGACGTCCGAACATGTCAGTCATAATGTAAAATTTGCTGTTTTTTTACACGTTTTACAATTTGTCATGTCAAAATTTATCTTGACGTTTATTAAATACCTAATTTTGTTATACATGGGGTTATTGTTTTGAGTTAAGTACATATGCTTGTAAATTACCTTACCTGTACAATATAAAATTACATCGATATTTTCTTCCGTTCCGTCATTAAAAACAACGGAATTTTTAAATATTTCCTTAACTATCGGCTTGAGGTAAACGCTGTTGGGCAATTTTATTGGAATAACATTTCTATGACTTAAAAAGACCTGAAATTAGGTATTAATACGTACTTGGAATAAAAACGAAAACTAAAATTTCGTATAATCACACCTTCAAGGCAACTTTAGAAAGTAATCGAGAAATGTCGATTCCGGAAGGACCTCCGCCTATAATAAGGACCGTCTTACCCGTAAATATTTCGGCAATTCGGTAAGCATGACTATGTAATTTCATTCCTTCAAAACCTGATGCGCCCTTTATATCTGGAATGAAGGGTTTTTCGTAATGTCCATTGCAAACCATTACGACGTTGTAAATATGCTCTGTTTCGGTTTTACTTTTAACATCTAACAATTTCACTAACCACTTTCCATTCGTTAAACTTTCAATTTGCTTAACGTAACTGAAAAACTGATTCAATAATGACCATTTCAATTTTTACGTCGAAACAAATAATAAACTTAAATATCATACCTTAATATGTTCATCGATGTGAAAATGTTTAGTGAAATTTTCGAAATACTGTAAAACTTCTGCTTGATATAGATATGACCTTTTCAACTCTTCCGGATACGTGAAACCACCGAAGGTCATTAATTCTTTCGGCAAATTTGTGCTATAACAAAATTAATAAACAAGTTTGGAACAATCAGACATTCCATTTTTACCGTAAATTTTTATACATAGATGAGTGAACCGGCAAGTCGTTTTCATCCAGATCTGTTTTATCGGTGTAAACCCATGTACCGCCAACTGCTCCTGTTTGTTCATAAATGTCGTAATCAAAGCCTGCATCAGCACAATATTTGGCACTAATTAATCCTGAAGGACCGGCGCCGATAATTGCCACCTTCATTGTTTGATGCCCTACAATTTTATTTATTTTAATATCCATTGATGAGAAAATTGTTTTATGGATATACCTTGATTTGAACAGACAAAAATAAATACAATTATTGAACAAAAAGCCAAATGCATTTTATTGACGAATAAACAGTAGGAAGACACAGCAGATAGGTATGGAAAACACTTCAAAACACAGAAGAATTGAACAAATTAGTTTGACTGTTTTAAAGGCAATAATTATCTAAAACGTTGATGTTATTATTTATGTATGAATTGCGTATTCATTTGACGATAAAAGAAGTTTTAGTTTCTTAGTATTATTTAAATGTAATCCGCAAGGTTTCCTTCATACGTCTAAGCAACATAGATTACGAGGTAGACGTGTGTGGTGCATAAACTCGAGAAATTCACAAACAAAACTTTAATATCATTTAGCGTTTTTCAGGAAAAAGTCGAAGTCAGATTATAAAGCAACAAAAAGCGATAACAAACGAAAGAAAACGTCAATAAGCTTGTTAATTTCACTGATTTTACATACATATATAAGGTAGATGTAGGTGAGCTGTAATGATTTCAGTTTAACTTATCATAAGCACCAGGAGGTGGCGCCATAAATACTAAGAATCAATTTTAGGAATAAGTCTTAGGATTACGTAATACCTAACTACTACGTTATATTAGTTTATGAAGAAAAGAAAATCGAATAGCAGAATATGTTTTACGTTTTATAATTATTAAAAAGCTACAGTATAAGACTTACCTTTACAGCATAACTGAAGCAAAATTCTTACCTTTCTTTATGTTTTAAGATACCAATAGTTTGGACTTGGACAAAAATAATTATGGAACGAACAAATAGCAAGGTATTTGATCGACACGATGCCGAATATACAATTATTAGATAATTCTCCAAAAGTGCTCTAAACGTATTTTTATCGTACGCTAATCTTATTATAAATGAACGACATACAAATTTTTTTAATGTTTATTTATTACCGATTATATTACAATTATCTTGTAGTTTATCATTACCGCCAACATAGGTAGAGATTTCCATTTTACATTCCACTTACAGAAGATAATTGTACTTTAAAACATTGTAATTTGAATTGCGTATAGGCAGCGTACTTTAACAAATTTTATGAGCGCTGGTACACTGCTGCACAACCGTAATTAAAAAGCTGTGCACTTATTAGAAACGAATAAGAACAACGACAGTTTAACTTAACAATTTATTTACTATATACAAAGAGATATTACTACGATGTAAAACAGATTCTTAATAATCAAAATTTCTATGTACAAAGTATTTATTATCTTTACAACCTAGTGGGGTGACAAATTGTCGTTGGTAGCAGAGAGGGCGGCTTTTGATAGTAAACAAGTTTCAACAAGTTTTAACGATTTAACCAAAAGCATCAATGACCTGCCTTTAAGAAGATTAGGTACCAAAATTTCCGCGTACCCAAATAAATTTTATGGTGTACTAATAAAGCTGCGACCCTTGCAAACATGGACAAAATAACGTTGAACATTCCTTCTTGAATAACGAATTGAAATGAAATTTTTCTCAAACTAACTATGAAATAAACATAAAGGAATATATAAATAAACATAAATGAATCTAAACAAACATTTTACCCATTTTTCGGAATCGTTTATTTTATTATCTAGTATCTAGGTAAGGATTTACACAATTATTTTTTAGAAACTGTTTGCCGATACAATTCAGAATTCCATCGGTGTTGTAATGAATAATTTTCTCACATCAGCTGATCCATTCATGTAGGCTATCATAATAAATTGCGTCACAATGTAAACAAACTGATTAATTATTTAATGATTAGTTATAAATTACATGTAATGTGAAGAGAGTTTGGACGTTTTTTGATAACTTCATTTATATTTAAATATAAAATGATACCTGATAATAAGCTCTCATTTCCTAATCTATTTTTAACAGTATGGATCTTTGTCTTCTTCGTTTTTATGTCGGTCAAAACCGAAAAATCGAATTCACACAAACAAGATGTATGTAGAAAATTGTTATAACGCAGGAGTCGGCAACCTGCGGCTCTTTGGATGTGAAGCTGCGGCTCTTTCCATACGCAAATATTATTTATTTTATAANGATTTTTCAGAAACAGAAATCCCTCTTGATGTCGACGTGTGAACCACTACTTGCAAAAGCATTCCCAGTAAGTAGAGGATAACATCCTGTGTGTATTTGCGGTAAAAGGTGTCTGATATTTTATACGGTTACGGAAATACTTACAGGAAGCTTAACCGTCATCCTTGAAATTGTAACATCAACTTTCCATCACATGCCTAATTTAATTTATAAGGCAAGTAATCGATCTCAAAAAACGGTTGTAATAATATACTATATAAAATATGTTTCTGCTGTATTCAAAAATTCCATTTCAATGACCGGAAAACGTCAATTCAGAAATACAGTCATTACATTCTAGGGGTACGTAAATTCCATTCAGGGTATTTTTAATGCCTTACGTGAGGGGTCGGCAACCTTTTGAGTCGGAAATCACAATTTACAAAATTTTAAAAAGTTTTTAAAGTGCCACAAATTTTTTCTAACATTTGCCAACTAACAAATGAACATTTAGAGTCGTGTTTGAAACTTAAAACAACAAGTTATGAGCCAAATTTATCCAAACTTTCTAAAACCATGCAAATGTATGTTATTGTTTTTTTTTTATTTTAACTACAAGTTACATTGTTTAGTAAAGTTTAAATTTTCTACTTGAATAACTATGCAAAGCCATGGTTTCCATTGAATTTGTTTGCTCAATTGTTTTTTATTGAAGTACAAGTTAGTGTTGTAAATAAATAGATATTTTTTCTTATGATAAATACATATTCTTTCTTATGAGTAAATAGATTAGTTTTTTATCAAAAAATTGTATTTACCTATTGCGAGTACTATTTATTTTTGGCAAGAAAAAACTTTGTAGCTCTTTAAAAACTTTGAAATTTTGTAAATTGTAATTTTTGACACTTCCGACTCAAAAGGTTGCCGACCCCTGTTATAACATTTTCGAAGTTTTTTATATTGTCAGATAATCATATCCAAAACAGATCCAGAACAATTCATATTTCAATTCATATTTTTCTGAACGTATTGAAATTAGGCACTTCATAGGTAGCAATTCAGAGTTTGTAACCGTATGCCATACTGATGGTAAAGAAACAGGTTTTTTGAATCCATTTATGATGGATCATAATTATTTCAATCACGTGATTTTAGTAGGTAATTTTGATGTTGCCTTCCATAACGTTCTTTATTTTAAAATTATCAGTGACGACACACGACTAGTAACAATACCACCTAGAGAAAGGCTACGGTGCTCTGGCGTGACGTCATAAGGCGAGCAGTACAAACTGAAGTGGCGCTCCATCAATGCGAATGCTCTTTTATTAAAAGCATGATTCAAATCAAAGGGCTTCCAGTAGAAACGGGGCTACCAGACATGAACTGAACCCTCAGTCGCATCCGGTTTGGTTTTTTTTTGCGAAAAAAAAAACAGTTTCAAAACAAAAATCGTCTTTTCTATATAAAAGCGCAAAATGCTAATTTTTCTCTCTTAGTTTTCAAGAATGCCATCAACTTTTTTTGCGTGAACTAGAAAAGATTGTCTTTCTTCTATGGTCGGATCAGTAAGAAAAGAGTTACATATAAAATAATTCGAAGTGGTCTGTATTCTGTCGAAACTGCCAGACGCGGATCGCGATTTCGGTCTTTTTGGATCTCATCAGCTCTGACAGAACACAGACCAACTTTTAACTGCTGTCTTAACAGTACGTTTTAGAAAATACTACAAATGGCGCAGTAAACGCCATCTGTAGCACGATGCTACATTTTAGGATTACGTATGCTCCAACAAGGTCCACTTGTGTGGATATCTACTTGCTGAAAACGAATCCCGGCGTAGCCAACTTCAACGTGATAGGCACGTTAGCTTAATCGAATAAAATAATTCGAAGTGGTCTGTATTACATATAGTTTTCAGTGTCCGGATGAGGTAATATTAAAATTCCAAAACTTCACTTCACTTACAAAGGATAGCTGTTTACTAAATGAATTATTTTCTGTCAATTTTAAATCCTTCACTATATTACCAATCTGATTAATAATATTACTAAAATTCTCATTTTGTTCTCATTTTTGAGGTACTGTACTACTTTCAAAGACTACTAAGTTATCTACTTCATTACATAAATCAGAAAGATCAGTAATATCAGTTAAGATAAACGGAGTTTTCAATTTGTTGGTCTGCAAAATAATTTGTTTTCCATATAAGTGACTTTCTATTTTAAGATCTGTACGAATTAGTAAAAAATAAGTAGTAATAAGACCCGCGACATTTTTAATCTGAAATAAAGATAATTAATTTTTTCTGTCTGCTAACTTGTGCCATTTTTCAGAAAGTGTCCATTTGTTAAAAACTTTATGAATTCATTAAAATTTTGAAAAGTAACACGCTCTTTATAAGCATGATATTCTTTGATACTTTATTTTAATATTCTAGATATATTTTGTTGCTCTCTTGAAATAAATTTTTCGTCTACTTTTTCTCATTGCCAACTTATTTTTTGAAAGGTATTGTGATGTTCGTGGGTTTAACAAAATTAACTTCTAAGACTGACAACGACAAAAACTATTTATTTGCACTAATTATTAAAGAACTTAAAAATACTATTTAATTATTACTAAACTTAGGTTATGAATTATTCTATTTATTTACACTACTGTTGATATATCACTATTCACTGTGCTATTTATTTCACTGCTATCACTGTCAATTTATTTCTTGCCTCTCGGCGATCGTCTCTTCCTTTAAATACTCTTTTGTTTACTTTCGGGAACCTTCTGGAAACACCTGGATAGTTTTCTTTTCTTTGAACTGTTTAATTGCTTTCCAAGAACGCAGATACGACACACATATTTACGAATACGGCGCACATGAAGAAAGGCGCCCACGGCTAGTCGATAAGCCGTTCACGCACACGTGTGCCGGATCGCACACAAACACACTCGTGCTCGCTACAGTATGTAGGGCAATTTGGAAAAATAGTTGAATTAGAACCCAATTCGAGCTTTGGATATTTTAAAGGTACCTCCAGTGTTTCTCTGGATTTTTCATCGTAATATTTCGTTATCCTAATTATACTTTCCTATCCTGCTGCAAATTATCCCATGGAATTGCTCGCAACAATTTTATTAGCAAGTTTCCATCTTTGGGAAAACTAAACACATATACCCGATTTTTTGTCAGTGTAATTTCCTTTATAACCCGGAATGCAACACTTATTAGGCATTTTTGCAAAAAGAAGCTCTAATATCTATTCACATAAACTGAACAAAAATATAAAATAAAAATGTCGCGCCAAAATACGTTCACACAATGACGTTACAAAGCACTTTCCAATTAGGTATATACAATGATGCTATCGCAATTTTACAAGTTTAATTGTTCGAATATAGGTAAAACGCCAGAAAAATTTTCTCAATACAATTTC